AGGAATTATTGCACAGTTTAACCCTGCCAGTATGAATGCCGCCCAGCTTAGAGAGTTGATAGAAAACATGACCAAGTTCTTCGAAGACGCAGCCAAAGATATCGTTAGAGGAAATGGGTCCGGGTCGAAGGAAACGAACCATGTCAAGATCAGAAGTTTCAGCGGAAGCGACGACAAAGACCCAATCGAGTGGTTTGACGATTTCGAACGCGCTGCAGAAGCGAATAATTGGACGGATGAGAGGAAGCTCACAATAGCTTCTGGTTATCTAAAGAGATTGGCAGCGGAATGGTATAAGGTTAGTAAGGCAACCATAGAAGAATGGAAGAATGACGACGAGCAAGACAAGAGTTTTTACCACTTGTTAGTGGCTTTCTTTGCTACTCCTGAGAAGCAGCACAAGTGGCATATCCAGCTGAATAGTCTCACCCAGCTTGAAACAGAAAAGGTAGACGCCTACGCCACCAAGTTTAAGAAACTCTTGAGCCGTGTAGATCCAACCGACTCCTTACCCACCCAGTATATAGTAAGAATGTTCTTAAGCGGTTTGAGAGGAAAAATGGCAACTTTCGTGGCAGTGACGTCCCCGACCAACCTTAACGAAGCCATTGTTGCGGCTAGAAAGGTAGAAGCGGGCGAATACTATGGTGCCCACGTAAACGAAACTCCAGTAACCCCTGATAAGAAAGACGAAATAATCGAGGCATTAGTAAAGCAAGTATAGCAACTATCGGTCAACTACGTTGCGGCAAATAACCAACAGGAAAAGGATACGCAAAAGTACAGAGAAAACCCCAAGCCAAGAAGAGAAATCATCTGCTATAGGTGCGGCGAGAAAGGACATATAGCTCGATTCTGTATGTCGGAAAAGAGGCCTAAGGAGTCTAGCGAAGTAGAAAGACCCCTCACGGAAAGCGTTAGTAGAGTAAACTACTGTGAAAGTGAGTTATACGCGGTGGACAAAAGAAAGCAGCAAGTACAACCAGACGTCCCCAAGAAAAGACCCAAACTACAACTCGAAGCAAATTGGGAGAATAGACTTCGGCCCCGGGCAGAAAACGAACCGATTATACTAGGTACTGGAGACCAATTACAACCTATGGAAGTGGAAGAAACACGAACGATTAAAAAAATCAGAAGAAAACGAGAACCATCGGTAATCGATAAACTTACCCCCTATAATATTGCGGAAGATCTACTGAACACGAGAGCAAACGCCACGTACGGTCAGTTGCTGCAATACTCGAACCAAAGAAGAAACTTGGTGCAAGCACTACGTCGACCGTTTGTAGCCCGAGTACCACAAGAAACCCAAACGACTCAAGAAGCCCAAAAGACTCACGTGGTGAACTTTAGCGATAATCTTAGAACTACCGCTGCCCATTGTTATATCCGGATCAAAGAGAACCCTATACGAGCCGTGTTAGACTCAGGCGCAGCCGTGAGCATAATTACGAAGAAACTTACGGACAAATTAAAGCTAAAAATCGACAAACCTTCATCAACGGTGGTTATCACCACTACCGGGACCAGGACGCGTGCGTTAGGCCAAATCGAGGACCTGAAAATAGCCATCCAAGATGTCCTTATACCTAGCACTTTCCAAGTGATTGAGTCCGCGGATGAGACGTTGTTACTAGGTAACGATTAGTTCCATAGGGCACAGGCCCGTATCCACTTCGACGAACAAAGGTTACTTCTCAAGCACGAAGGCAGAAGAATCGAAGTGCCCATTTCCAATAGTGGAGCAAAAAAGTTAGAAGTACCCGAAGAAAAAGAATTACTTGACGATGACAGCGGAGATGAGTTCGAAGAATATTCCTACGAAGAAGAAGAATTAGTTGAAGCGGAAGGTTATTATACGGAAGAAGCCAGTGGAGAAGATAACGAGCTGTTTTACAACCCCTGGGAAGAGGTAACAAGCCCGGCAATATACCTGATGGATATTGAAGAAGTACCGATTGAGGGAGACACCGAAACGAAATCTACGATAGAGGAACAAATAGAAAAATTTCTCCGAAACGACGCATTAGACAAAGAGAAGAAAGAAAAGGCGGAAACGTTTTTTGAAAAAGAGAGAAACTTGTTTACCAATAATATGCGGGGACTTGGAAAAACCACTGTAGTAAGACACCGAATCGATACTGGCAAGGCGAAACCGATAAAGCAAAGAGCTTACAGAGCGGCGCCAAGCGAGCATGAGTTCATAGAGAAAGAACTCAAAGAAATGGAAGAAAGAGGTTTGATACGAAAGTCTAATAGCCCATGGGCTTCTCCCGTAGTCGTGGTCCCAAAGAAAGGAGGGAAACTACGCCTCTGTATAGATTATAGAAAGTTAAATGAGGTTACTAGAAAGGACGCGTACCCATTGCCAAGGATAGACGACCTATTGGAGAGCTTTAGTGCTGCGAGTTGGTTTTCTAGCTTAGATTTGAAAAGCGGCTATTGGCAAGTAAAAGTTGAAGAGGAAGACAAAGAAAAGACGGCCTTCATCACGCAGAGTGGACTTTACGAGTTCAACGTTATGCCGTTTGGCTTGTCGAACGCGCCAGCCACCTTCCAGCGTCTAATGGACCATGTATTAGAAGAGTACGTCGGTAAGTTCATCGTTGTGTACATCGACGATATTAACATATACTCGAGGACTTTCGACGAACACCTAGGACACCTAAAGAAAGTGTTTGATAAGTTAGCCGAGGCAGGGTTAAAAATCAACGTCGAGAAATGCGACTTTTTTAAACCCACCATCCACTTTCTCGGACATGTAATCGGGAAACACGGAATACAACCAGATGAAAGTAAAGTAGAAAAAGTAAAGAGTTACTCCCTACCTACTACCCTACGGCAATTAAGAGGGTTCATCGGCCTCGTATCATATTACCGAAAATTTATACCTGGGTTTGCCACATTAGCAAGACCTCTACACCACTTATTACAAAAAGATGTTAGCTTTTGTTGGGGACCGGAGCAACAAAAGGCATTTGAGATATTAAAGAATCACCTGATAACCGTACCCGTTCTTAAGTACCCCGATTTCGACGATATGTTTTACCTGTACACCGATGCATCCGGCACCGGATTAGGGGCTGTTTTGGCCCAGAAAGGAGAAGGCAAGAAGGAACATGTGATTTCCTACGCCAGCCGCAGCTTATCTAAGGCTGAAAGAAATTACTCAGCGTGTGAATTGGAGTGCCTGGCGGTTATTTGGGCGGTTGAATATTACCACCATTATTTTGGCTTCAAGCCATTCACGGTCATAACTGACCACACGGCACTAAAGTGGCTCCATAGTACGAAGCTGAAGGGAAGAAAAGCCCGGTGGATACTCTGGTTACAACCGTATAACTATACGATCCAACATAGGTCCGGAAGTACCCACATGAATGCGGATGCATTATCGAGGCTAAATGGGACAGAAGAAGACATTGCGGAAGTATACATTGCTGTAGAGGAAAATGGGGAAAGCAGCTCAAAAAGAAAGGAAGAAGAAAATCAAGTAGATAAGAAACGAACCGATTCACCTAAACCCAAGGAAGGACTGTTTGAACCAAGAACCCAATCGACTCCTGTAATAGCCTACGAAAAGTTGGGAACTGCGTATCGCAGAAACTTGGAATATGTAGGCCCCAGTCAATCCTACGGCAACACCTACCAAGTATATTATCATCCGACCAACTTCGAACATCTTGCACTAGAAATCTTTGATCGACGCAAGGCCATCTACCGAGTCAACTTTCAAGGGTTTAACCTAATAGCACACGAGCCAAGACAATTACTAACACTAAAAGAATGGGTAATTTCTGGTGCAAAACAAGAGTTAATTAGAAGAGAATACTTACGGGACACAGGAATTGACCTAGGGTATATGGAACCACTGAATGTCTCGGCCATCGAAGTCGAAAGAGCTGCCAACAAAAGGGGTGACCGAAAGCCGATTAACTTGGAATCGATGGGACCAGAAAGCAATAATTAGGCAAACCTATATATGTAAAAAAAAAAAAAAAAAAAAAAAAAAAAAAGGAGAACGAAAAGAAAAGAAAAACACCCAAATCCGACGATAAATCTAATCCAGCCCAGGTGGTCAGTGTCCTGGCAAAAGAAGGCCAAAAATGGAAGAAGACGACTATAATAGATTAAAGAAATACTTACAAGAAGGATACGTAGAAGAAAACCTAGACAAGAAGCAAAGAAAACAATTGATTAATAATGGCAGATCATTTGTTCTAAAAAATGGTTTATTATATAGAGTAAATAAGAAGAATCAAGACCAATCTCTGAAAGTAGTTCGTAAATACGAAATCGATCCCATCCTCTTACTAACGCATGACCACCCACTTGGGGGACACTTCAGAGCTAAGGCAATGTTTGAGAAAATCCGCAAGACCTATTATTGGCCCCAAGCATTTGAGTATATTAGAAGATACGTCCAATCGTGCGAAAAGTGCCAAAGAAGAGGAAAAAATAAATATAGTGGATCTTTACAGCCCATACCTGTGATGACGCCGTTTTATAAAGTGGGAATCAACATTGTTAGACCTCTACCGATCACACCCAGAAACTCACGCTATATAGTCGTGGCAACTGACTACATGACAAAGTGGCCAGAAGCCAGAGCCATTTCGACTACAGACGCCCGGAGTGTAGCAGATTTTATCTTCGAGGATATCGTGTGTAGGCATGGATGTCCCACGAAAATTCTATCAGACCGTGGCACCCACTTTAGAAACTAGCTAGTCGACAAGTTGTTAGAAAAACTCCGAATAAAGCATCTATTATCGACGCCGTACCACCCGCAGACCAACGGGCTGGTAGAGAGGTACAATAGAACATTGTGTGAGTCTATAGCAAGATCAATCG